TCCTCCTCCTCCTCCTCCTCCGCCTCCTCCTCCTCCTCCTCCCCCCTCTTCCTCCTCCGCCTCGCTCCTCCTGCCCTTCCTCCTCCCTCCTCCGCCTCCTCCCTCCTCCTCCTCTTCTCCTCCTCCTCCTCCTCCTCATCCTAGAAGAAATACAGACCTTCTAGCTCCAGGCTCCAGGCTCCAGGAGGAGGAGGAGGAGGAGGAGGAGGAGGAGAAGCAGGATGAGGAGGAGATCGAGGAGGAGGAGGAGGAGACGGAGGAGGAGGAGCTTGGTACGTTGGAAGGAGGAGAAGGCGAAGGAGGATAAGGAGGAGAAGGAGGAGGAGACGAAGCGGGCGCGAAGCGCATGATTGAATTCAAGCTGTAGCGCAATGAGCTAAGCGCTGGGCAAACAAAAACAACAAAAACACGCTATGGGGGCAGACAGAACGCAACAACATAGAAAAACGTGGCTGACCAAAAAACATCTGGATTCGCAGCGCGTTTCTGTACATTGCAAAATTACAAGAATTAGAGTGGTTGAAGATACGGGAAGTTAGGGAATATAATGGTTTAATACAGGGGTAAGTTAATCTTGAAAATCAAACGCTATCTTCCACAATTTCAACCTAAATTCCACAACTTCCACAACTTCAACAGAACTAGTTGTGCACATCTCAAGGGCTGTCTTTGGGCGTCCTGGGAACCCGGAAATCATGTTCCCGGAGAGGCTTCTGGGAACATGCTTTTGAACGAGGCCCTCTTGGGCCTCCCTGAGGCCGTCTTGGGGGCCTCCTGGGCCAGCTTTGGGGCCTCTTGGGCCGTCTTGGGGGGTTCCGTGAGCCCCACAGGCCGACCCTTTTGGGCCGTCTAGGGCCCTCTGTCTCTCTTGCGCTGTCTTGGGGCTCCGCGGGGGCGTCTGGGGCACTGTGAAAATGAAGCCAGCGAGTATGCTGAAAATGTACGTGTTACGATTGGAATGGGCCGATTTTTGCCTCTTGAAGGCCCTCTCGGGGCACTCTTCGGCCATCTTCCATCTCCGGCCCTCTTGGGGCCTCGCTGAGGCTGTCTGCTTCTTGGGCGTCCTGGGAGCCCGGAAGTCATGTTCCCGGAGAGGCTTCCGGGAACATGCTGTCGAGCGAGGCCCTCTTGGGTCTCCCTGAGGCCGTCTTGGGGGCCTCCTGGGCCGGCTTCGGGGCCTCTTGGGCCGTCTTGGGGGGGTCCTTGAGCCCCACAGGATGACCCTTTCGGGCCGTCTTGGGCCCTCTTGGGTCTCTCTTGGGCTGTGTTGGGGCTCCTCGGGGGCGTCTGGGGCACTGTGAAGACGAAGCAAGCGAGTATGCTGAAAATGTGCGTTTTACCCAGGGAATGGGCCGCTTTTTGCCTCTTTAAAGCCCTCTCGGGGCCCTCTTCGGCCATCTTCAAGCCATCTCGGGCCATCTTGGGCCTCTCTGAGGCTGTCTTGTGGGCCTCTTGGGCGTCCTGGGAACCCGGAAATCATGTTCCTGGAGAGGCTTCTGGGAACATGATTTCGAACCAGGCCCTCTTGGGCCTCCCTGAGGCTGTCTTGGGGGCCTCCTGGGCCGGCTTTGGGGCCTCTTGGGCCGTCTCGGGGGGGTCCGTGAGCCCCACAGGCCGACCCTTTTGGGCCGGCTGGGGCCCTCTTGGGTCTCTCTTGGGCTGTCTTGGGGCTCCGCGGGGGCGTGTGGGGCACTGTGAAGACGAAGCCAGCGAGTATGCTGAACATGTACGTTTTACAAAGGGAATGGGCAGATGTTTGCCTCTTGAAGGCCCTCTTGGGGCCCTCGTCGGCCATCTTCAAGCCATCTCGGGCCCTCTTGGGGCGCTCTTGGGCGTCTTCGGGGCTTCTTGAGGCTTTCTGGACCATCTGTACGGCCCGCGTGGCCTGTCGTGGCCATTTTGGAAGCGGCCCGGGGCAGTCCGGGGGGGTCTGTGACCCCCCAAAGGTTCGGGGGGGCGCCCATGGGGGATGATGGCACCGGCTGTGCCCCCCCCCCCCCCGGACTACTAATATATATATATATATATATATATGTGTGTGGTGAAATCACACGTGACCCAGATCATGAAATAATGGTTGGGGAAAAGCAACCCCGCGAAACAAACGCATATAACATATACGCTACTAAACTGTTGCGAGCGTTGGTCAAGAAAGCGTGCAGGAGCTCAGGTAAACCAAATACTGAAATGAATGTGTTGGTGATGAAACTCTTGGAATTGCGACCTCCAGAATGGTGGTCAAGAGACAAAGAACTCTGTATGACGACAAGATCTGCTGTCGGTCTATGACACCGAGACGGTTGTGTCCTTGAGCTCCACGCAACCGATCACTGGGTTCGTTAACTCCATCAGAGAAGGGAAGTTCCACATGTGGCTCTGACAAACAAAACTATCCATAGTCCACTTGGCAGTTACCCACGAAAAGCTCCAGACAAACGTTAAACACGCTGGCACCATTAAAACAG